TATATATATATATAAGAAACAGAATATTTTTGGACAAAATCTAGGGTTGTTTCATTACCTAGAACATGAGATGACAGAATGGATGACTTGTTAGGAAGAAAATATAACTAAAAAAATAATAAATAAATAAATAACATACAATGGATATTATGGCCAACTAGTCAAACTATAAGGTGGCGAAATGAACATTATGGATCTATAAATTGGTCATTTTACCACATAACACGCACAAGACTAGTATTTTGTCAAAACACCACCAGTAATGGATGTAAGTGTAGGGTGTTGTCTACTTGGAGTAGCAACAGTAATTATGTTTTTTGTATGGAGAGTTTCAAATTTGTCGTGGTTTGTATCAACCAAGAAGTTAAGGAAGCACTTAAGAGATCAAGGACTCAACAATAGTTCTAACAAATGCATGTCACGAGAGGGAAAAGAGATGGCGCAGACGAAAACCGAAGCCAAATCAAAACAATTTAGTCTAACTCGAGATATGGCTCCTCGTGTCTCTCCTTTCTTTTATAGATCAATTAATAATTATGGTATGTTATAGTTCTTTTTCATCCAAAAGAAAATTTCTTATTTATGTGAATTTGGATCATTTTTCCGTTGTTTCTATTGATAACGACTAAAATTGTCAAAAATTCAAATGCTTGCAACCTTTGATATTGTTTTAATGCAAAACGGGTTTAACATTTTAATAAACAAAATATGTACGCATAGTTAGTATATTTATTAGTTATAAAATTGAAAATATGTTGATAGAACGACATTTGACCTTAGTTTAAAGTTTACATATTAAAGCATATTACCAAACTTGTCCATTTTATCACATATGCAACATTCTTAATTACGATGTAAATGTACGAATTGTATTACACATCTGAAATACATATCTAAACTAGCCATGATAGAAGAGATCTTAGAAGAGATCTTTGCCAGATATCATCAATTACAAAACCTAAGAGGGGGAAGGGGGAGTGAATTCGTTAATAAAGATGCTAGAGGAAGAATTCCTTGATGTTGATTAATAGCTTGAACATAGAAATATTAACAATCATATGCATTTTACCCGTAGAAATTCAATGTTCACTTTCATTGATATATCTTTATTTCCATTAGAGTTTTCATTGATATATCTTTCTTTCCATTAGAGTTTCAGGTTGGAGATAAAGTTATGTTAAAGGCCTCTTCATGGAAGGGGATTGTTCGATTTGAAAAGGATGGGAAGTTCAGTCCGCATTTCCTAGGACCATTTACAGTGCTCGAACGCGTAGGATCACAAGCCTACAAACTGGACCTTCCACATGAGATGCATGAGATTCATGACACGATCAATGTGGGTTATCTGTACCCATGCATGCTAGAGCAACAAAATGTAAATTCATTGTCAGATGTTCAGATAGGCAACAAGACGATGTGCATAGGGGAACGTAAACCTAATCTTGATACGTTGATTAAAAGGCTTCGAAGTAAGCAAAATTTGCATAATGTAATTCCATTGTCTAATGCACAGATAGATAACAAGACGAGGTACGTAGAAGAACCTGAAGCTATACTTGACACAAAACTTATGAGTCTACGAAATAAGCAAATTTTACTAGTCAAGGTTCAATGGAGGCATCGTCATGGAGTCAATGTTACATGGGAACCTAAAGAGGAGATCCAAAAGAGATACCCTAAGCTGTTTGTATAGCTGATTTCAAGGATGAAATTTTTTTGTAAGAAGGTGAAAGTTTATATTTTGTATAAATATTAACTTTTTTATGTTTTAGATATTAAATTTAGACAAAAAATAAAGTAATAATTATGTAATACGATGATATTTTCTATTTGGATAAAAGAATGATTTGGAATGGTTTAATTGCATTTAAAAAGAACATGAAAAGTGAACTTTTTTGTCAAGACAACATTTATCGTGTGTTCACAACCGGGTGTGGGATGGAATACAGGGTAAATATTTGGTCACAACTGAAGTCTGTGCGGAATTGACTCACACACCACACGACTTGTCAACGTGCCAAGCTAAAGGATTGCAAAATTCTTTTTCATTTTCTTATTGGATTAATATATTTGAAATAATATAAAAGATAAATGACGGAAAACTATATTAAAATAATAATAATGATAATACCAAAATTTTTAATTTTTCAAGTGCTTCTGTATGGATTTTAATATCAACCATACTAGGAAGGTGTTCGGGCCATGCTAAGTACGACCCTGGTGCTTGATACTCTTTTGTAGAATTTCCAAAATACATTGTTTTAACATGTAAAAATAAAAGAAGGTTGATGTTATAGACAAATAACTTAAAGTACATTGTTACTTTTTGCTGGTTATTGGTGTAAAACCCACTTCAATATTAGAACAAACTAATAATGAAATATTTTGGAGCCAGTCAACAAAATATATTCCGAGTGAATGAATGCGCAATTAAATCTATGGTCGACCCATCTATGGATTTATGACAAGCTTACCTGCACCATGGAACAAATGAAGTAAACTAAAAAAAAAATCCTTCAATTCTCAAAAGTTTTAGGACTATCATTCACCACACAGTTCCTCTCAAAATTTAACTCCAAAAGTCGACCCATCTATGGATTTATGATCTACAGAAGAGGAACAAATAGTACATTATTAAGAAACGTACAAAAAAAAAAAAAAAAAAACATTATATATGTAGTTAGGTTGTGCCAGACTAATGCAGCTGACAATTGTAAGTAGACAACCAAGAAAATGATAACACAAAGAGTCGTAGCCTACAGTATATGATCCATATATAACACCAAGG